TCAGCTTGAACAAGAGCACAGCAGTAGGAAAGTGAATAGCCTGTACGTGAGCAGTAGCATACATGTTTAATATTCATGTGTTTCTTTTTTCTTTTTTTTTTTTTTTTTGAGACAGAGTCTCACTCTGTCACACTGTGTAGAGTACTATGGCATCATAGCTCACAGCAACCTTAAACTCTGTTGGGGTTGAGCAATCCTTTTGCCTCAGTCTTTCCAGTAACTGGGACTACAGGCATGCACCACCACGCCCAACTAGTTTGTCTAGTTTTATTTTTACTTTATGTATTTATTTATTTTTGAAACAGAGTCTCACTTTGTCGCCCTTGGTAGAGTGTCGTGGTATCATAACTCATAGCAACCTCAAACTCCTGAGCTCAAGTGATCCTTTTGTCTCAGCTTCCCCAGTAGCTGGGACTACAGGCGCCTGCCACAGCACCGGCTATTTTTTAGAGATGGGGTCTTGCTCTTGCTCAGGCTGGTCTCTAACTCCCAAGCTCAAGCAATCTACCCACCTTGGCCTTTTTTTCTATTTTTAGTAGAGATGGGGGCTAGCTCTTGCTAAAGCTGGTCTCAAACTCCTGAGCTCAAGCAATCCACCTGCCTCTGCCTCCTGGAGTGCTAGGATTACATGTGTGAGGGACCGTGCCTGGCCCATGTATTTCTTTTATTTATTTATTTATTTATTTATTTATTTATTTATTTATTTTTGGTTGCAGCCATCATTGTTGTTTGGCGGGCCCAGGCTGGGGATTCGAACCCGCCACCCTAGGTGTATGTGGCTGGCGCCTTAGCTGCTTGAGCCACAGGCGCCGAGCCCATAGAAGTGGCATTTAAAGCCATGAGCCAGGACAATTTCATCATGAGAGTGAGTATAGGTTGAAAAGATCAAGGATACCAGCCTGAGCCAGGGCCAGACCCTGTCCCTACTAAAAGTAGAAAAATGGAGGCAAGAGGATGACTTGAGCCCAGGAGTTTGAGGTTGCTATGAGCTATGATGCCACGGCACTCTACTGCAGGCAACAAAATGAGAGTTTGTCTCAAAATAAATAAATAAATAATGAAAAGACCAAGGATGGAACATTGTACCATTAAGAGAACAGAAGGGAACCAACCAGTGAAAGAGCTCAGCCTCAAAGAAGGGACAACAGGTGAACCGGGGAAG